ATAGAAAGAATACATAAATAAATTTGAGAAAAAATATTTCAATAAATAAACTTCGAATAAAATAAACTTGATTTCATAGAGATCAACTAATAGTGTTGAATAGTTTAATGTTTGTTTGGTTGGTTTTTAATAAATCCATTGGTTTGAAGATATACTAGTCGGCAAAGATACATAAATCATTGTCTATACTAAAATCATAAAATATAATTTCATAATAGAATAAAGATGATCAGTGTTAATTCATGTCCCATTTTACTTCAAATACATCAACACTACATAAAATAAAAAGTGGAATACATAGTTTACCGCTTCTGTGTTTGTGTGTTTTGTTTCTAATGGAACGTTGTACAAAATAGAAATTGGGAAAAGTTTTAGTTTATGACTAATATTTCGATAAGCAAAGATAGATAGTGGCTAACAAGGGAATCAAGGACGCGCGTTTCGTCCCATTTGCAACTCGTCAGCTGGATGTACCTGCGATAGTTCATGAAAAAGAAATCTAGTTATTCTTTATTATGTTGTATGTTAAAAAAGATGTGAAAATTCCTACATTATATAAAAATTAACCTGTAAGATTTTTATGGCTGGAAATAATATTCATCAGTATTTTTAATAAAGAGAACTTAGTAACAGAGATTTCAGGTGATAATCATTATCTGACTGAAGAAATATGGCAGAATTTTATTGAATTATTAGTATTCATCAATATTGGAAACCAACAGTCACTAATGTACTCTAGTTTTTTTAAATGCGAAACAAGGACTTCGAAATAAAAGAAGGATAAATTGTGGTAATTTCAGGGGTAAAGCGAAAAACTCAACTCAAAATTAATTTTTGATTTATTTAAATGAATTTTAAAATAAACAACTGTGAGAATGTTATGATTTTTTAGGGTGTGCTTTTTTCCCCTTTTTCTAAACATTCATAGACTAATGTGTCATATTTTTAAAAAAATTCTTATGTGAAAGAAATCAATAGTTGGTATAGAATAGTAACTGATATAGATTTTTTTAACGGAAGCATTAATTCCATTAAAACCTTTTTTCCTCATTAAGGTCACTTCTCTAAACTGATTTTGTCGGTATTTTAACGAATTCATTATTTTGTTTTAATAGAACTTATAAAAAAGGTAATTGTTTAGAAATGCTCTTAATAATATGAAATCGAAGGTTTGGGTGGTACCTTTAAATCTAAAATTACCTACTGTAAGTTATGAGTAAGAAAAATGATCTACTGACCAATGTATTATCATTTGTACAGTTGTTTTAATCAGTTGCAATTAAAGGAACATCCATATTGATTATCCAACATTAGATTGATAATAGATAGTATCTTATTAATCTTTTCGTATAAGTTGTTTTGATCACTCACTAAGTATATCTTACGTTTGTTCATTTGTATTTTATAGCAAACATATCGATATGTATGGCAAAGTATTGTATACATGCAAAACAACAACAAATTTCAGTATCTTGAATGATTCACAAATGTACAAATGAGAAATATCACCGAGAAGATGGAGTTGATCTAAAAAACATGATGTAATTGCACAAAAACAATTTGTCGTGACCTTGAATTCGCCCTGGTAGTCCTCATGCCATTTTATGGCCTAAGATAATGTGACAATCTCCTATTCCTTCTATAAGACGTTAGTTTTTTCCTCTCTCCTTTATTCACAATTATTACTTTGCTTACTTGAACCTTCATTTAGTTGATCTCTATTTTCATATAAAATACCTTGACAAGTATATGTGTGACCAGATTGTTCAAAATGTATAATGCAAATCCATCCCATTTTTCAGATCAATTCTATCTTCTCATTGTTTTATAGAAATATCACTACTGTACATTTGTTATATGTGATTAATTATTATGTTTGATTCCAGATTGGTTACTATTTTATTTGTTTACATCATAAACTGACACCAATAGAAGATTCATCAATGAAGAATGAAAATTAAAACAGATGTTTTGCACAAGTTTGGAACCTTATAGGAATTCATACACCCACACAACTTTACATTAAACAAAAGTCAAGACAATAATGAATCACAGTAGACAATGGGAACGTTAGATTGTTATATCGGAATCCAGTGATTCAGGTGAACAACTTCACTCTATTGTTGAAATTAAATAAGTCTAAAACTATCTAATCTATATTCTCCCAGATATTTTCATATTTCCTTGACCAATAATAAAGTGTTGAATCGATTCAGAGCAAACTTTAAAGTCACTAGAAAGTGTCAGATTTTAACAATCATAAGAAAATTGCAAATCTAAAACAAATGAACTAAAATACTTTTTTTAACAAATCAAATGTATAAATATTAAAAAAATGAATAGAGGAAAACAGTGGTCCAAAAAGAAAAATGCACATTTAATCTATGTCTAATATTTCATTTAAGCAACCATTCACTAATGTCTTCAATGAGTTGATATCTCCCAACAGACCTGGTTGAACTCCATTGCTTACTGTTTCTCACTAGAACTCCAGGAAATACCTCATGGAGACAGACAGTAGTGAGCATATAATCATTATCGCAAGGGTGTTTTGTGAAGATTTTAGTAATTTTATATAGTTGAGATCATGAGTCAACTGAAAATAGACCACCATGAAAAACCTGGAAGCACTGGACACCGTTGGATTTCGGTTTAGTGGTCCATCGATTAAGTGCTCGCGCGCGAGACTGGTAGGTCCTGCGTTCGAATCTCACGAGGCGGGATCGTGGATGCGCACTGCTGAGGAGTCCCACAATAGAACGAAATGGCCGTCTAGTGTTTCCAAGTTTTCCCTGGTGGTCTAGCTTCAAATGACTCATGATCTCAACTATAAATTTACTAAAATCTCCACAAAACCTCCTTCTGATGACAATTCATTTGTCTAACTTTTACAAAACAAAATAGTAACAGAAAAAATTAAAAATTTAAAACAAAAATTAGTTTTTCATCAACCATTTCAGTTTTTCAGGAATCAATACAAATTTATAAAAAATTAAGAAATATATATTATGAATCGTGAAAATAATGACTGATAACACATTTAAGATGAATTGATATGCATTAATTATAGAAAAATATCAGATTATATTTAATAGATAATGAATTTCAATTAACTTATTCTCAGTAAAATTGTATAGTTTTGATATTTTGATTAAAAAATTCAGGAAAACGATTGATTTAAAGTTATTCATATGTAACTATACAAGTAGTCTTCAGTTTCTTTTATAACTTGATATTGTTTGGTTGAATCTCCCTATTGCAAAAGCAAGTGGCTATCAGGACTCAGTATCTAAGTGGATAACGCGATGGCGTTTGAAGCCAAAAGTACTGGGTTCGAGTCCCAGAGAGAACATCAACTCTGAGATGCAGATACATCAGCTGACGAGTCCCTAATAGGACAAAACGCGCGACTTGGATTCCACTTTTAGCCATCATCTCTCTTTGCTTATAGAGAAATTGTTTAAAAGAAAAAACTAATTTCTTATATTTCCCAGGTTATATATATATATATATAACATCTAACAATCTTATTAGTTGAGCTATTTTATTGTTTAAATAAACTCCATTAATTTCGTAATTAAACTTTTGATGAAACCTTTCAGTTAGTTGATAATGATAAAAGTAAGACAAATAAATTTAGATAAATGAATTTTTAAGTTAATTGTAGAATCTATTTATTATGTACCATGACATTATTTTTTTCGATAGGACAAACCAGCTTCCATATGAAGAGGAAATTAGAAAGAGACGATGGAAGTGGATAGGAGATACATTAAGGAAATCATCAAACTGCATCAATAGGCAATCCCTAACTTGGAATCCTGAAGGGAAGTGGAAAAGTGGGAGGTAAAAGAACACACTACTCAGAGAATTGGAAGCAGATATGAAAAGGTTGTATAGCAACTGAAAATCACTGGAAAGTATTGCCCAGGACAGAGTTCAATGGAGAATGCTAGTGGGCCGCCTGTGCTCCTCTATGAGGGGCAACAGGAGTAAGTAAGTAATTAATTATTGATGTTGTAAATTAACAAAATTAATTATTATCATTCACTTTTAAAATGATGAGTTTTGTTAATCAGTAAAATGAAAATCGTGAAATTATCAGAAAAGAAAATCGACGAAAACAGAACAAAATTATGTCAAAATTTTGAAATTTCGTTGTTTTTTTCTTAAAACTTATTTTGAGTTGGATTATTTTTTTGTATAAAATTGTAATTTCATTAAAATAAGTAGTATATTATTTAACTGTTTACTAATGTTGTGAATAAATTAAAAAGTAAAAAAAAAGAATCTCTGGATAGTAATCTCTAAGATGGAAAACAAAATCATATTCATTTTTATTAATCTATTGTAGTTAACACTGAATGAATGTGAAATAAGTCTTAGGACAGGTAAAATAAAGTTTAAAAAATGGGTCATTAGGTTTTGACTATTCAGCATAATATTAAATCTGTAACATATCGGTCTGTTAGTGAAAAAGATACTTTTAGACTACTTTGTCAGAATCAAGTGATTTTAGTTTTAAAATGTAGCTAGTTTGTTGACTGTTGCTGTATTTCTGCTTCGACACCTACATTTTTTATGGTTACCTTCAAATTTGAATGCCTATAGAATCGTTGTTCGTGGTTGTATGCTTCTAAGGAGTCCTGGATGGGGACAAAATAACTATCCAGTGCTCGTAGCTGCTGTTATTACCGGAAGAATATTACTCCTTCATCATACAAAAGATACACTTAATCACTTGTGTCATCTGCTTCAAAGTTTAAATAAATGTTTGGCTAAACGTTTAGAACTTTAAAACTGGTATAATTTGTCATTGTTTTCTATTGCAATTCAAAATATGTTAAACTACATTAAACAAAAGGGGTTCACCAAGCTCACCATTCATAGCTACTGATAAAAATACGCTTAAAATTCAAAATAATAAATTTGAAAATACTATGGTGATAAAATATCCAACTGTTACGAAGTACAATTTATTTACTAATATTTTCACTTACTTTCCGTGATTTACAGACTCCAATCAATGGAAGTATTTCATGCTTTGAATGTGTTTCAAATGTTTGTGAATTATTATTACTTATGCATTCATTACACACCGGTATATGACAGTTAACACAATAAAGATTTGGTATTATATTTAAATGTGACATACATGGTGTAGGTTGATTACGTTGTTTTTGTCTAATTATTTCTACACCTTCAGTTGCTGAATGTAATGCATGACGATTTAATGGTCCACGAGCTGGATGACACTTTTCACGACATCGTGTACAATAAAATATTTCACATTGTTCACACCAAAATGTTGCTAAACAATTTTGTTCAGTCGTTTCAGTCTTATTGGTTTCTGAAGATGATGGATTTTCCGTTGGAATATTAGGTTCTTCACATAACTGACAAAGTGGTCCACCTGGTCTGTTAATTGGGTCCGTGTTATTGTTTAATAAAAATGGTTCCAAGTCTGCACTCACTTTTAATGAATGAGGCGACTGATCAGGACCTACAAATTTAGATATTATTCGTTCAAGAGCACGGTTTCTCGGGAGATGACTTAGTCCCTTATCATCAAAAAGACCAACGACATGGTTACATATGGGACATATTAAGCCACTTGATACTAGACTTATTGAAGATGAAGAGATACTGTAGGTTTGACTCGGACCTAAACCTGAGGTTGATGAACATATTACAACGGGCAATCTTCCCACATAACTACCTGGTCGACTGCTAACAATTACACCAGAATCTGTTTCGCTAACAACACTCATTTGATCAGAATCTGAAGGTATGATGGAAGTACAACCCATAATTTGTGTGTTTCCTTGTGAGTTAGAAGTACTGGGACAACCGATACTACTTCCTGTTGTCGATGAAGACGAGGATGAGGATTGGGGGGGACCACTAGCAGGACTAAATGTCTCAGCTGTTGTTAATTGTAGAGCTGCTGCAATCGATGCTGCTATGCTTGGTTCGCTAGCAGGAAGTAGAGCTCCAGCTGCACATAAATTGCACAGGGAATGTCCACATGGTAACAATAAAGGACATTGGAAAAATCGCCTACAAGATGGGCAGCGTAATTCGGAATCCATTTTATGCACAGCTGTAATTGTAGCCGCTATAGTGTGTTGACCAGCTGAGGCCTGTCCACCACCAGTGCTTCCACTACTTGATGCACTCATGAGGCTTGAAGCAGAAGAACCCAGAACAGGCTTCATAGAAGATTACTTCACAGACAATTATTAAAAATAGTTATTGTAACAATTTTTATGGTGATGTTAACAATAAGAAATCCATAAGGAGTTGTACATGAATAAATTATCCATATATTTTGTTATGAATCCTTGTAAGATTATAAATGATATCCGTTAATTTCTATAAAATGTTACAACTAATGATATGAATTATAATATTATTAATAGTTCAAAAATAGCCCCCAATAGGTTAATGTATTATCTTAATGTATATTTATCTATATTATCTTAAAAGCTGCCTATTTGGCAAAGCATATAACATTGTAGGTAAGGGATAACAAATATAGACATGTAAGAGAATTCTGAGGTAAAACAAAAAAAACAGAATCAGAAAGATGTAATCTGATTGGTTAAACTGAAGATATGATGACTTTCTATTAGTTGTATTTTATTTCTCCTCACTGACCTAATTGAAGATTGAACAGACTAGTATAGTCAGTTGAAACAATCAAAGTAATAAGTAGTATCATAGAAATCAGTTGTAATATCATAAGATAACATTTCTGTCAACTCTAAAGGAAAACACTGTATACAACTAAAATAACTAGGCTAAATCAATAATATATGTTTACTTTGAGTATCGATTCGAATTTTATGCAAAGATGAGTTGTGGCAAGCAGTGAAATCCAGGAAGCGCGTTTTGTCCTATTTGGAACCCGTCGAATGGGTGTGCCTTGATCCACTCTAGGACTTGAACTTGAACCGTTCGTCACAAACGCCATCGCGTTATTCACTTAGATATTTCTCTCTACTTAACAATTCTTGTGACTTACTGGCAATATTGAAACAATCCGTACAAGATACACAAATGCAAATAAGAGACTGATCAATTCCAGTCCTAAACAACGATAGGAATATTCAAACAACCAATATAAATGAAGTTAATTTAATTGACTATTCTTTTATTTCATAGAGTGATTTTTTCGAAATCTAATTTAGTTAAAATTAATATTATCAGAAGGGGTTATGTGGAGATTTCAGTATTTTTATGGTTGAAATCATGAGTCAATTGAAGATGTCCCACCATGGAAAATCTGGAAGCACTAGACGACCGTTTCGTTCTATTGTGGGACTCCTCAGCAGTGCGCATACACGATCCCGCCTCGTGAGATTCGAACGCAGGACCTACCAGTCTCTCGCGCGAGCACTCAACCGATAGACCATTGAACCGGCATCCAGCGGTGTTAATATCTAACTTCAATCAATCCACGAAATTAAGCAACCGTTCACCAATGTCTTCAGTGAGTTGATATCTCACAACAAACTTGGTTGAACTCTAATGGTCACTGCTTCTCACTAGAACTTCAAGAAAAATCTCTTGAAGCCAGTTACTAGTGAGCATATGATTATCATCAGAAAGATTTTCCATATCGGTCTAGCTTCAATCGACTCATTATTTCAACCATAAAATTGCTGAAATCACCACAAACACCCCCTCTGATTTCAATGATGTATTTTTTCCTCACTAACTGGAAAAATTTTCTATAACTCTTTATGTCATTTTTTTCATTATTTGAGATAATACTTTATTTTTAAACAGGCTATTATTGAGTCATTCACATATAAAAGTAGACAACAGTTCGAGATGTCTGAAGTACATAATATATGCAAACACAACTGAAACTAACCCGTCAAATTTGCTATGAAAGTTTGAAAGGGAAATTACGATATTCTACATTTCAAAAAATTGGATAGGGTATACACTTGGGAAGTCATCACGAACCAAGCACTAACTTGGAATCTTGAAGGGAAATGGAAAAGAGGAAGGCCAAAGAACAAACTGTGTTGAGAAATGGAAGCAGATATGAATAGAATGAGAAGCAAATGGTGACAACTGGAAAGGATTTCTCAGGACAGAGTTGGATGGAGAATGCCAATGTGCGATCTATGCTCCTCCATGGAATGAAGGTAACAGGTCTAGTTAAGTGATATTTCAACAACTATCATAGTTCTATAAACGTAAATCGTTAGTAAAATAAATATTCAATTCAACACCAATTTTTCGTTATAATGAATAGCAATTGAAATACATAGGCAACTTCAAACTTGTCAGTGTTTATTATTATTGTCATTAACATTAGCATTATTGAATATTATATTTTTAGTACAATATAGAATTCTCAGCACAAAGTATTTCAACAAGATTCCGTTTCTTACTTCTTCGTCGATCCTGACGATAAATATTGGATGATCACCAGTTAGAAGTTAGGAGCTCAATGAATCGACATCTGAAGTATGTACATTCTTTTCACCACATATTGCCTGCTTGCCTACCTGTCAATGAATTAAAATTCAACTAGTTCCAGTTTTTACAAGTTTACAATTAAATCAAATAAACATTTAAAATTTTTTACTACCTATCAACATCATCATTCAAAAATGTTCGCTACTAGGAATGAGATACACAAATAGTTGAATTATTTATCTTCCAAACATTAATACTGTATAAGAATAGCTTAGAAAATGAAGAATTGACTACTCTTTTTTTACAACCAAACTACAATATTCAAATCATCTTTGTTGTTGACAGTAAAGTTCAGACATAATGTTTTTTCCTAAATCAATGAAAGCATGATTTTTGTGATTATTTTACTTTTAAAAGAAAAAAAACTCATATTATCCTTTCAATGAACGTCTAAAAATTATCCCCAAGGAATTAAAAACCGTCTTTGTGTAACTTTTCTTTTTCTTTAATTGTCATTGATGTTTTTCCATAAAAAATTGTAAATGAAGTGCATGGAGATGCTAAATCGAGTTTACAAAAGTGAAAAAAGAGATTTACATAATTAAAATGAAGATGAAAATGAATTAGGTTAGCTTTTACTTTTACTTAAGAGAAGTATTGTTTGGCATAATCTTTCATTTTATTACCTTTGAAAATGTAAATTGAACTAAACAATTTTTTCTTGAGAAAGTGATTTATGAAAAATATTTTTTACTTATCTACGCAAGATACTCAGTGTCGGCTAGACGGATACCACCAACAACAGCCTACCATGAGAGAAAACAAATCAGCTTCCATATGAAGACGAAAATTAGGAAAAGACAATGGAAGTGGATAGAACATACACTAGGGAAATTATAACAACTCACCTACATTTGATTTTATTCACATTTAATTTGGTTAAGCCATTTTGTTAACATACTTAACGGATGGAGTCCTTTGTAAAAGTAACAACTTATCTGTACCATTGTACACCTTTATTATTGTTACACTTGCATGAATATGCATGCGTGAACATTCCTTATCGCCTACACGCATATTCATTATGCTAGCTTCAATGTTAGTCTCTTAATTGATCCGATGTTTCGTTGATTTCCCTATGTTTCATTTATGTACATTTTAATCCTGTTTATACACTCGCATGCTCATTCAACTCACTCGCTTGCTTTTCTGCACTAGCCTTTCATTCTTATTTCGAATGCCTGTGGTTTCGGTGATCTATGTATGGTGTAATAACACGAGGCAAGCTTTAACATGTAATCCTGAAGGAAAACACAAAAGAGGAAGGCCAAAGAACAAACTGTGTTGAGAAATGGAAGCAGATATGAATAGAATGAGAAGCAACTGGTGACAACTGGAAAAGATTTCTCAGGACAGAGTTGGATGAAGAATGCTGATAGATGACTTATGGTCCTGTACGAAGGAAGACAACAGGCATAAGTTAGTTGGAAGAACAACTATTGGCGATTCCAAAACACTTTGACGTCTAGATTTCGGAACAACGAAAGCAAAAAACTTTTTTTCAAAATAGTTTCATTTATTCACATCATTATCAAGCAAACAACATTATTACTTCAGTTACAATACCGGTTTTGTGATGAACTGTCGTCAATTGTTATTCGTTACCTGAGTTGTTTAATTCTAATTTGGTACTAAACTATGGTACGTGATTAAAAACCTCACACAACATCCCAGAACATAGATATTGCAACAAATATTATCCACCTGATTGATTGCATAGGAATTCAATAGATAATATATTAAATGTCCGTTAATCTGTTATATAACGCTGTTCTCACACATTTAAGTAATAAACAAAGTATATTAATTATCAAAAACACAATCTAATCCTTCAAGCCGTCCAGCTACTGCATTTTTATTAATATTTCTCAAGTTGTCATCACCTTGTGATATAAATCATCTTCAAATATCAATATCATGGGAATGGTAATATCAGTAATCTTTCAATGTAGATTTCAATATTTCTTTCCATAGCTTTTATAAATATTTTATTGATAAATTTCACATTGAAAAAAATTGAACTAGACCAGGTAATTTATCGATTATTCACTTGTTTACATTCTGTTTTTTTTTCTGGGGCGCATTTTATCCACCTTAGAATGTAACTTATCTCATTGTATGACTTATTGTTGTCCAGTTTTCTACATTCCTCACAGGTTAAGGTGGTTTGAAAAACAAAAGTATCAGTTATCCACTCAACTTAATGAACATTGACAGTTCATAAGAAGGTTGAAAAAATTTGAAATAATCATATTGTTTGCATTGTGTGTATTCAAGTCAAGTGGAGGAATAAGAAATTTAAAACGAAAAATTGTGTTACTCTAAACCAAAATTTCTCAAATCTACATATAACTGATAAAATGGGTATCATTTAATAACAGTTGACCGTAAATTTTACTTACAATTATGCACTCACATGATTTTATCACGTCACAAACAGATGTATTTATAAAAGTACACAATTACAGTAACAGACTTATTGTTTCAGTGAACACGAAGTAATATCAGTTATGTCTTTATAATGACGTACAGATTTCATGGTTCCTTTGGTCAAAGACAATTGTATCAAATATCTCAAGAAATAGACCGGTTTTCTAATATACAGAATGATCTATACAATAAACAAATAACACTATGTCAAGCAATAAAATATACTCAAAAAGTGTTATATTATGTTGAGAAACTTACGGCACATTCTGTGATCTGTCCAGATATTGTATAGATTATACTGTGCAATCTTATAAATAACTGTTTCTAACATTTATAAAGATATATCTTTAAGCCGTTTTGAAACACATAGGTTTCAATCAATATTCAGATAAGTGAAAAATTAGCTGAAGTTTCATTTGAGTAATAAAGTATCACGAATAATTATATTAAGATCCAACGAATATTCCACAAAGCCACTTCACCTAATATTAACAGTCATTTAATCAATGATGGCTATCTAAGTAAATCCTGTAATGTTTTCAGGAAAAGCAAAGACCTTAATCAAACAAATCGAAAATAATCTTCTAGC